GTCAGTTGGGATTGGCATCGAGCCCCTAATGACCCATAAATGGATAAGCTGTATATAATTGATGGATGGATGGATGAAAAAGGATTTACCTATGACGGATAGATCTAACCAGCAATGTGAAATACCGTATTTCTACATATTTGGTTTAGTTAGTATTTGGGGCAGTAGGGTGGTGTATGTGGGACTACATTGCATGTTTTCATGGTAATGAAGGAACAAATAACCCAGATGTCTTTTCCCAGCAGGCAAATGGACTTGTCACCGTAGAATGTGTTGTTTTTTAATAGTTTTAGCAGAGCTCTATATAGCAAAGGCTATATCAGGCTTTTGAAACACACACAGCAACTATTCATTGCTTCACCACACTTACCCTTTAAGGGACAGATACAGATAAACACCCCTCTCCCTTTTTCCCCCTCGCAACCTATCTGGGCACTTTTCTTGCTAGCCAAGTGGTTGAAGGCAGTCAGTGGTATGAGGCTGGCCAGTCACGTGTCGCTAGTAGACACGTGCCCTTGCTGCAGCACACACACATCTAATGAAAATGGAACCATTACGCTTGAATTCCTCAGCCATCAACATGCACATACACACACTTGTGCCAGCGAGTATTGAATGTTCTCTATGCAGACAAATCTGATCCACTAATGTGGCTAACCCACATCCAGAGGCTCAGGATGATTAAATGCTACAACCCAAACTCACCCACTAACACGCTTTGCCTTAGTGTCCTGCAGTGACACACAAATTCACACAAAATCCATTTAAATTAGTGTTCTGTTCTGTGGTGTCATCTCAGCCATAACCCACACTCTGGCTCAAGGACAGACTGACGAGTCAAGTGAGAAGCAAACAGGAAATGGAGCAATTAAGTTCTCCCTTTTGTGCTTTGAGTGACTTGATGGTCTCTGTGAAGCTGCTGCTGTTCAAAAGGCGATTGCTTTTATCTCTGTGGATAAAAGAACAGCAGCATGTCATCAATACATTCAGCACAATGTGTCAGTTTTCTATTCATCAAATGGTTTACTCATGCAGCTACTGTACATGGCACAATATAAAAGAATACATAATTTGAGAAATAGAGGACAGTAGAGACTGTAACAAAATGTAGTAAGGAAAGAAACAGGAAATGTGTCCCTTTTAATATATTGAAGTACAACAGCTAATCCTCTGAAAATATTAGTTTGAATTAGTGTAAGATGTTCATGTATTTGATAAACAAGGAGATATCACTCAAATCAGATGAAACACTAACCACTATGTGTGATTCATAGGATGAACAGGCTTGGAAAAAAGCTTGTGAGACCAGTAAATAATGAGTAATTGTTTGGCTTTGTGGTGATGGAATTTTTGATTTGTGTTCTTAGTTTTTAAAATGTGTTTATTCAGCAGTGGTCAAGTGTATAGGAAACTGCTCCAAGGCCCTGACCCATAAGTGACTGCATGCCTGATGATATTGGTCATTTAACTAATTGTATTCTTTTTGTACTTTTGATAAACAAAAACACAATATAAACAATGTATTACTGTAATTTATATAATGCTATATTGTACTCCATAAGCTCAATCATAAATTCAGAAATTGGTTTTCAGGATGTATAATTTTAAAAACTTACATCCAAGAGGACTTAAACTGTTGATTGTGCAATGCCATCATAGGAGCAAGAAGTGGAGGTGGAGCTCTGTGCCCCACAGAGCCCTTGTCTCAACATCATCAAGTCAATCTGGGATCACATTAAGAGAACAGAAACAATAGAGACTGAAGTTCCCAGAGATGCTTAGAACAATCTACGTCTAAACTGTGCCTACGTGTACACTGAGCTGTTTCAAATAAAGGGTGGTCTTACTGAATATTTGATTTCGTTTTTATTTCTGCTCACTTCAGTGAAGATACTTGATAAATATAATTAACTGCTTGAATTATCAGTTTTGTAAACATCCGTCTGTGTTCCGTCTACTGGAAAGGAACTGTGAGGCAACATTGTAAACCCATCCAAGCTATTTTTTTTGTCCTTGGGCCCCTAAAATATCTAATTCAGTCATTTATGGTGAGCTGCTGTGATGTGATGACAGTGAGTTGTATAAAGAGTCATTGGTTTTCTTTGGATGGACTGCATTTCACTGATTTACCTGAGCTATAAAATCACTGTTTCCATTGCAACAGCATCAACATGATTCGGTAGAAAGAGTTATAGTACAGCAATTATTGAAATTCTGTGACTTTTTTTGTATTTATGTCATTAATCACCCTTGTTACTCTTGTTTCAAAACATTTATCTCAATTCTTCATTTTGAATGTGGAGTTATATAATATCAAGTTCAAGCCATCTCTTTTTAAAGAGTCCCCGGTTAGCAGCGTAGACCAATGTTTTGTTGAAGAATTAATGTGGTGTCCCTCCTTTCACCCCTCTGTGCTACTGTAAGCCAGACTGCAGGATCCCACTGCGCATGAATAAAGGGCAGTCAATACCTGGAGCTTCTCCATGTTTCTACAACCTCACACACAACCAGTCAGGGTGTCCTACACTGCCCCCATGAGGGCAGCACCCGTAATTCCATGGTTCCTATGGCAGCAGGGATGGCAATGTTATATACGTAGTGTTACACAATGCGTAAGATGCTGTTGTAAGTATTCACACAAGAGGACACCTTCAGTATGCTGTGCCATATGTTAACTGTACAGGATTGCTTACCGCCCGTTACTCCCACCCCAAGTGAATGTATACATTCTTTAATAGCTGACTCTAATTTCCAAGTGCATCTTTTTCCACATCGCCCAGAGGGCTCTTAGATGTTCTTTCATTATATCTGTCTCTGTCTCCACTGTGATTTGTCACCACGGATACATCCTCCGTGGCAACAGCTGTCGGTGAGGCAGCTGAGGGTGACGCCTATGATGAGGTGTGACAGCAAGTGTATTTTTAGCTTCTCAGCCAGGTAGCCAGAAATGGTGTGTTCAGACACTTCATAGGGTGTTAGTACAAAGGGAATAAACACAAAGGCTGCTTTGTAAAAGACTCACATTAGTATGGAAAGAGGCTGATGATTGTGCCCATGTCATTTTTTGAACAATGTTTCAGTAATGCCAGCATTCATGTGATTTTCATTGTATACATCATATGAGACATGAATGATTCTTACTAAACAATGTTTGACTGTCAAAAACAGGCCAGAACATGTTTTTTTATTGCATAAATTGCATTTTCAGTGCCCATTGTGCACCCTAGTATTGTGTGCTGCCATGGATAATGTTATGTACACGTGGGAAGGCAGCGATGGGAAAGATCTCCATGGTTACGGCTTATAAGTCATTGACAGGGTGCTGCTAGGCCCCTGAGTTCTCTGATAACAGTTCAGTAAAAACATGAAAAGTTATTGCATGCATTTGCAATATTGAACTGTAGCTGAAGTGATAAAAACTAGCTTACTAATATTACATGATAAGTGCAGAACAAAATTTGATACAGATACATGTGGTTGAATAATAATCATAATAAGAATGTATGCCTCCCTTTTTGTTTCCTGTAATGTATGAAGCCTAGGCATGTATGAAATAATATATATTATAATATATATTATAATAATAATAGCATTATTTTAAGCAACTCAAAAGCCACTTGGTTGCAAATATGCTTGCATCAAGAAAACTTGTTACGACTTGTTAAGTTTTGATTATCAGTGATGGCCATTACTGGGATGTTACTTTCTACGAGGCCCTCAGAGCCTCCTTGTTATGTTTGTTGCCAAAAGTGAATAGGAGAAATGCTGACCGTGTCAAATGCTGTCCTAGTTACAGTGATGAAAAAATGTTTTCTGGATAATGGTACAATAAATGCAAAAGGTATTCATGTATATTAAAAAAGAACTATACTTTGTAACCGAATAATGATTTAAATCGAAACTTTAAATTATATTTGTTGGTCATCTGTTATCTCCCCCACCTATTATGAGTCAGAGCCAGATTTGTACACCTACACATAAAGTCAGAAGATATTAAAAGCCAGTCCAGCTGCAGAGGATCTGTCTGATGATGGGGACATTTCGGAGCCTGTTTTCCAGGTTTCTGTGCTCTACTTACTTTTTGGCACAGTAACATATCACGACATTGGGTGTCTGCCCCCACCCAGAGCTCAGGTGCATTGTCACTGTGTCCCGACAGCAACTGTGTGCCAGCAATGACACCAGGTTTTTTTCCTACTGAGGTACATTTAATAGAAGATTAATTTTTCAAGGTATAATACCGTACCTGATGTTTTAGTTCCAGGTAATACAGGAAGAGCTCCCTGTTAGTCCATAGAAGAACCCTCTGTTGAATCTGAATCTGTTTATTTAGGTCTGCACATACCATTTCAATATTGATTAATCTATTGACACCTATAGTAAAACGCAGTTTACAATGATGGACATATGTGATAAGGATTGTGGAAAAACCATAACTATCATAATTCAAAGCAGGCTGGTTTAATTAAATTAAATTAAATTAAAGTGTTAAACTGATACTATCTTCTGCCAAGGAGAATATGTTTTTGTCTGCGTCTGTCTGTAGGCAGAGGACAGATTACCACAAACTTTGGTGAAAGGGTGCTGAATAATTCAGATAGGAATGCATTCAATTTTGGTGCAGTTGGGTCCAGAGGGTTTTTTCTTTATCATGATCAAATTTTTGTTGGTTTCGGGAACAATAATTCATGAATCTTGATGAAAAAACCCCAGCATATTTAGGGGATTTGTGTGCAATTTGGTGGAGATCCAAATACAAATCATGATCTAGTGAATTTAAATATGGTTTCATAAGGCAGAGGTTTGTGCTCTTCTCTGTGCTCTTCTAGTTATTAATCTTTTTCTCATTATTAATTATTGTGTGGTTTGTTTTGATGAAGAATATCAGTCAAATAATTTAGCACCCACAATTTTAGGCTTTAATTCAAAACTCAGCAGATCATTTTCAAGTCAGCTAATCATATTATCTTATCATTGTTTCTTCTGCCCCTGTCCAGCGGTGGTTATTCCTGATGGCACATCAGAGAAGGCAGGGTTTGGAGATGAACTGGGAAGTGAAGAGGATCTCCTGTACGAAGATTTTCGTAGTTCTGGACATCGTTTTGGACACCCAGGAGGGGGCGGAGGGGAGCAGCTAGCCATCAATGAGGTAAGCAATATGGTGATGCAACCAAATGATGGATAAGATTCCAATTATTTTCCGATCACTTCCTCCCCCTGGTTGTCTGGAGGAGTAGTTCTGACAAATTAGAGAAAACTATGAGCGTCAAAAGCCATTACTACAACAGGGTCAGTCCCTCCTGGAAATGAAGCATGTAAGAATTTGGATCATTGTTGTGAATAAATGCTGAGAATGGTTCTCCTCTCCCCAAATGTAGTTGGGAAGTGTCTGTAACCAGAATATAAACTGTATATAAAGATGGATGACATGACATCACCCAAAAAGTGAAGCCAAAAAATCTTGATTGCCCCCTGGTGACTGGTTGTAGTAAAGGTCAGAAACCCCACCTCTTCCATGTTAGCAGATGGTACAGTGGAAAATGTTAAAGTACAATTCAATTTTCTCAAAGATGGTTTATATCATTTTAGGTTGTTCTTATGACACTTCGTTAGAATGAAGAATGTGAATGTGGAGAATCTATGAATGATTATTGCAATGACCAGAGGAAACTCTTGCAGATTTATTGTCGCACTCTGGCTGTTCCAAATATTCTCATTGCATTTAAAATGGCCCTAGTTAAACACCTTCCTTCCTTCTGATTACATATTTTCTGATTGAGTAATAATAGCCATAAAATACAAATAAAATGTTAATATAAATCAAATTAAAAGAAAACAACTTTTTCCTGTCCCAATTACACCTTTAGTTAGAAAATAAACAAACAAGAACACTCTTTATAGGCAAAAATGCATTGACATTCACAAACAAGCATTTAATTGTACAAAGGAATGCAAAACGAATAATGCAATTAGGCTTATTCACTAAGTAGACATAGTGTACACTGTGCGTTACTCTGATTGGAAGAAGGCTCTGCTTATGAGTCTTGTGGGTCTAGGCTTCTTTAAGTGAGGTTTAACAATTGAAGAATTGAGTGAGCTTGGGAGAATATGTAGACTGTATTTACAATATGCAAAAGTATGCACATATAGCCTATGGCTTTACATTTCAGAAATTGAACATACATTAAAGTATTGTTATTAGCTTGTTATGTCGGCCTAGACTTTTTTTTTAAATGACTGTGATCAAGGGGTGTTCAGGGAGTTTCAGACCCTCTTGGGTTTTGCACAGCTCACGTCTTCTCAACCAGCTGTAGGAAAAAGCAGTGTTGACTGCCTGGCAATCCCTGAATGCCCAATCAGTACTAGTTGCTGATGTGATTTGTTTATGGCAATGTTCAGGTTGTGACCAAAACAACTTAAACACGGCCATTTTAATTGCCCGATTGTCACCACAATTTTGGCCACATTATCAGTAGTAATGCAAGAGATTTTTCTTTCCTCTATATTCCAATGTATGGTCCCACACAAGGCCTCTTCCAGGTTGTCAGCTGTATGGTTTTCTGGCATGAAGCTTATTTGTCACCATTTCGATTTCAAAGTGTACTCTTTGCTGACATAATGTGTGGTCACTGACATGCACGGCATCATGTTAAAGCTGGACCACATGATGGTTGTCAGGGCCAAATATTCCATTATCCAGCACTGCTAAAATGTTTGATCTGATGTTGTTGTGCAATTTTAGGGCTGCGGACTTGGAGAAGAAATTCCTACCTGGCAGCTCATACTGCTTGTCAGTAACTCTTGCAAGTTAACAAGTTACAGCATTAGTGCACTGCTTCTATCTTTCACTGTCAGGCTTGTACTTGTAATTTCTCTAAAGCATAAATAATTAGTCTATTACCTTTCATTATCTTTCACTGCATACATCGTCATATACCATTTTAGGTTGACTTTGCTGAGCCCTAATCAGATGTTGATGGTTTCTGGTCCTTTAGACTAGGGCTGGGTGATTTTCCTCGATAGAAATTTAAGACATGTCAATAAAACGTCGATAGAACTCTTTCTGTCCATGTTTTGACAGACAACACGAACAGCCAATAATAATGAGCGCTGCGCCGAACCAATCATGTGGCTTTAATAGAGTTACACCCACAGGTTAGGTTGACACACAGCAGGAGGAGCAGCAGCACACGTTGGGGCTCCTGCATAGAGGTGGATGACTCTGCATTGATGCAGTGACTGAACATAATCATGTTTTCTGCTACAGGCCAGAACCTGTTTTTTTTTTATTGCTTTTTTTAAAAACTGCATTCCCAGTGCCAATTGTGCACCCTGGTATTGTGTGCTGGATAATGTTATGGTCATGTGGGAAGGCAGCGATAGGAAAGATCTCCATGGTTACGGCATATAAGTCATTGACAGGGTGCTGCTAGGCCCCTGAAATCTCTGACAACAGTTCAGTAAAAACATTAAAAGTTATTGCATGCATTTGAAATATTGAACTGTAGCTGAAGTGATATAAACTTACTAATATTAGTTTAAGCAGGTTTTCCAACATTGAATAATTATAACCAGCACTGCTTCAGAATCTGGACTGAACGTTAAAGGTGCGGTCGTCCTGTGTCAGAGTCTCTGTCAGAGTCTGCTTCCTCCTCACTCCCCCTTTGACCTGCGCTCACTTTACACTTTAACAACAAACACCATCACCGATCATAAGTTATTAGGACACGCACAGGACTGACTTTCACTTTGGGTTTGTTTGATTCTCTAGAGTTTATGGGGCATACAGTATGTTTAAACATGCTACACAACACGAGACGTAACGTAATGCGCACAGACATCAGCATTAAAGTGACCGAAACGATCCGGAGTCATGAGCCGACGTCATCAATAAATAACTATTTTAGAATATAGGACTAGATGGTGAATATCCCATGTGATTACTGGTTCCTGTGTGAAGAAGGACTGAGACCAACACACACACACACACACACACACACACACACACACGCACGTGATTAGAAAACATCATAGGAGCCTCAGTGCAGTGGAGCTTATTTAAGATAATATAAGAACGTATAGATCCACACACCGGGGAAATTCAGTTGTTACAGCAGCAGGCATATCAGAATGAGAATAGAGAAATATAAAAAGGATCAACCAAAAAATGCTGAGTATGTACATTATATACACCTTTTCACAGTAGTGGTTTGTATGAAATGTTCTAAATTAAGTGCAGTTTTAGCAGGTTTTTTGATTTATACCACGATATATAGAGATTTCGACTGATATGAAAAAAAGATTGTAAAAAGATTTTTTTTCCATATTGCCCAACTCTAGCTGGGCAAGTGCATGGTTCGGTAGAACCTCACAACTGTGTATCTATACCAAGATCACAACTGCAAAGACTCTGGCTCCAAATAACGTAAATGGTGCAAGATGGCGCCACCCATAGCTGAGATTTTTTAGCTACATTTTTGACAACAGGAAGTGGAGACAAGTCATCCATCTTTATACACAGTCAATAGCTGTGTTTCATGTAGGGGTCGCATCCTTTGGAAGTCGAATTTGTAGGCCAATTACATCACAGCAGCACAACTAGGCTGTCCCATTTCAAAGGCTCTTCCAAATGCACCCAACAAATGCGTGCTTCCAACCCGGAGCAACAGAGGCTCCACCGGCTGGATCCTTCGTGGCCCAACGTATCCCATGATTCATTGCTCTTCAGTGATCAACTGTTTATTATTTGGTAAAAAAAACATCATTTCAACATTTTTAATACACCAAAGAAGGTTTTCTTCTGTAGCTTTGTTGCGTGGTGACACCAGCCGTCTATGCTGCCGTTAGAGGATCCCGGGTCCTCTGAAGGATGCAGCCGCTAAATTGAGACCACAGTTTCTGATTCAGATCACTGAGTGGCTATTGTTATAAAGTACAGTAAAGTGGCTGATCATTAAACCCCCAGTTGTTTGCTGTTGGTGATGAAACAGAGCCTGGTCTCAGCAGAGGATTTTACAGGGCTCGCATTACCTTTTCACTAAGTGCTCTGAGGTTGCTGGATTATTTGGTTGTCACGGATACCTCCTCTGGTTCTGTTTATGCATGATTTCAGTAAAATGTGATTTAAAGAGAAGATCTGTTTACTCACAGTGTGACACTGCCAATAAATAGTTGATCGCTGTATATATATTTGTCATGTTGAGGCTATCTGAGTTTCCTCCTACCAAGCTGGATCTTGTTTAGGTTTTATGCAGCCTGAAAGGAGCACACACTAAAAGAGTTCTGGCACGATACCCTATTTCCAAACAACTGAATAGACAAATGCTTTTAAAATAATCTGTTACAGCATTCAGATGCTGAATTATTTTTCTCATCATCTAGTAAATGTGATAGAATGACGGTGCAAGGGTTATTTTCCGTCCTACTATCACATTTAGTCTGCACTGAATTCACTTGGTTGACAGTGACTGATCAGATCAGTTTTCTTCTTCTCCCTGACAACCAGACAGAGTCAGCCCTTTGCTGCCATCCTGTGGGTGAATGCTGTCTGTTATCTAGGAATTTGAAGATCGTGTCTCGACAAAAAGGTGCTGTGTGCTATTATGTAAAATGTCTTTGCGGCTGCTATGGAGAGGAACGCTCAGTCAGTGGAGATAGTGAGATGTCGCAGAGGTGTGTCTGTTTTGTGTCCTCAGATTCTAGCTACCTTAACATGGCTCTTTTCTCAATTTTCCATTTAATTTCTTTTTGATGTTAAATTCTGTTTCTTTGGGTTTCACATTTGGTGAAAAGCAACAATCCAGGGAAATTATCTCTCCAATGCCCAGCCAGTGGCTTAAGTCATTGTGTTTTCAGCTTTTCCATCCGTCCATACGTCCCTTTCCCTTGAATGTGATACTCAAGAATGCCTTGATGGAATCACCTCAAATTTGTTCCTATTCCCATCTACTTAAGAATATACTGATTTGATTTTGGTAGTCAAAGGTCAAAGTCATTATGTATTTACGTGGTATGTCTTCAAATTTGGTACAAACTTTCACTTTAACTCAAAGATCAATTGATTCGATTTTGCGGCCTCATGTTACTGTGCTTCAGGTAAAGGTTACAGTGACCGTTATATCAAAAAAAGTATGAAGAAATATGTACACA